AAGTCTTCAATATGTCATCTGTTAATTCTGACTCATTCATTAGGTCATCTATTGCTTGAAATAGTAATTCCTGTTTGCTTGCAAAAAAAAGAACCAAACATATACTCGCTTTTGCTATTGCATATGCTGAAACTTAGAGCCCGTTTTAAAACATTTGCTATACAGTTTGTTATAAGAGAAATGATGATATTGACGTGTTGTTCTTCCTATGGAATTCAAATTAAATCTCATTGTAACTGAGAATTCTTTTTTTTCCCCTTGCAGGAAAAGATCTACCATCTACCATGGCATCAAGGTTTGTTCCAAAAGTAAGTTTCTAGCAAAATATCCTTGTGTTTAGGTATACATTAGAAGTCTAGCATTACAAAAGGGTTCACATAACATAGTTTGTTTTTTTCCCCAGTGTCCAGCAGTCAGTATTAAGATTGCGGTTGACAAGATTGATGCTGCGTTGTAAATCTCTGCAGCTCTGTCATGGTTGGTAACAGGCATCAGTGGACCTTTCCCCATCACATATCTATCTTCCATAGAGCATAAACTAATAGGACAGTGCTACATTTTCAGTTTTAAGTTAGCTGTTTATTTCCATTTCCTAATAAAAACCTCATTTATTGAAAAATAAACACGTTTAATTGTGAGACTTGATGCTTCAGTGAGGGGTATAAGTGTGTGAAAATAAATGTTGAGAGGAAAACAAGAAACATGCCTATTTATCAAGAAATTTAGGAGAATTTTCCTTACTGAAAGACAGGCACCAACTAATTTTTAGTCAAATACCATGTTCTTCACATGGAGTTGTCTGTTGAAGATGAGTAATACATTTTTTCTGTAGAATAACTCTTTTTTTGTGACATGATTAGTAATGTTTCTCTAGGAACATGATATTTCTAGTGCAATCAAACTTGCATATCTATTTTTGCTGCAACTCTTACCACCACTAAAAATTTCTTAATAGCATCATCTCTTATATTTTTTTAATCTGCTTTGCATAACATAATGTTGCTTAGAAGTAGTATTTTGACATGCTCAATCTCTTACACCTTTCTGTGAAAGATTTTGCCTCCAAAAATAATTTTTTTTCTTTAATGAAATGATTGAGGGAGAAATTCAGGGAAATAGTGGGGTTTTTTTACTTTTTTCTTTTAAACTATCCTTTGTTTGTATTTGTGTGCTTTTTAGTTGAAAACATCTTGTAGCAAGTACCAGGGATAATTGCAGAGAAATATTTGATTATCTTCTGAACAACTATGCGTTTTTGAAGGAATCACTAGCTCAGTTTCATTCAAAGCTAGATATGATATAGCTGGCAAGCGACATGAAACTAATAATTTATTATCTAACCTTTTCATTTCTCCCACTCTCACTTCTAGTTGAAAGGTGCAGCATTAGCTGTTAGGGGAGCTTTGCTCTTTTGATATGTGGGAAGGCAGAATGTTTAAGCTAAAACATGTTAACTCTCCCAGTCCTATCTAACATGAGGAGCAAGGGCTGCTTGAAAGTGTGTGCAGGCACAGCTAATGCTCTGTGCCTGTCTGCTACTATTTTCCCATTCTGGATGCATAATAAAGGTGTATACTGTAGCTCATGTTATTCCTTTAGAATAGGGATATTTATAGTGTATCATTAGCTTGCAGTTTTACTATGATTAGTACAACCACATAATTGGTGTGACAGAAAATATGTATACCTGGCATATGATTTTTGCAGAAACCAGTTATTGCTAATGTAATGTGCTGAACAGTTTTTACGTAGATTGCTGGAAAAAAAAGGTTTCTGGAAGCAGCCAGACCTTGGCACTTCCCAAAATAACCATATTTGTCTTTCACTTGAGCCTGATTCTGCAGCCGTGTGGCAGTGACCAGTTGGAAGAGGCTGAAATATGGGCATAGCTATGTGCATAAGTGAGAATACGTTAGGAAATGTAGTTGTCTGTTTGTAGGAGGCATTCTTTTTTTTCTTGTTGTTTTTCTGACAATATGGCAATTTTTCTATTTAATTCTAAATGTACGCCTTTGCATGCAAATGTTTAACTTATTCCTCTCTGGACTTCCTCTGGTTATTACATTCAAGCTTAGTAGCCACAAAGATTCTTTTACTAACTGTAATATTTCACTTCCAGTTCTCAGTACAGTGAAACACTTGTCCATGCTGTCCTGAATTAAACTGAGTAAGGTTAATAACAATAGGGAAGTTCATACTTAGTATGACAGAACCTTGTATTTTCATACCTGCTGTTTTTTGGCACCTTGTATGTCTGCCTTTTGCATTTATTTATTATTACTTTTCTGTACATGAATTTGTATTTTTAGTGGATTTTTAATACACAGTTCACTGTTTCATTTATGTTTAATATTTCTACTCACTTTATGGATTTCATTGAATTTTTTTTGAACTCAGTTCAGGTTCCTGACTGTCCTCCTTTTTAGCTTAAAAAGGAGGACTATTAATGGTTTTGTTCCTTTTGCTTAGATTTATTTTGTTATTATTCTCTAGCTCCTACTCTTCAGGTATAGCTATTTTGGTATTATAAAGAATGATGGATTATGTAGGAAAGTTTCTTTTGAAGCGCTCCTGATATTGTGCAATGCACTTGGGGGTCAGCTACACTTGACTGGTGCATGATTTATCCGATGTCCCTGCCACTTTCTGAGATAAAGCTGCTATTTTATCAAAAATGCCAGCAAGTGTGATTTAGAATTTATACACCTCCTTTTTCAAATAATTGTTCTGATTACTTTCTGGCATGGCAATAAAATGATAAAGGTAATTGCACACAAATGTGAGATAGCACCAAAATACAATAAAATTAACCTGAATTAGCCTGACTTGTCGATGAGAAGTATTTATGAAATGTATTTTTGCAATAAGGGAGACTGATATTATAGCTGGAAGGTGAGTTATTGCCTTAATGTAATACTGTTTGAAATTTAAAAAAGAGACTGTTACAGTTGAGGGTGATTGTGCTTTTGAAATTAAGTTGAAGTGATTCTTATAATTGGCAGCAATAATGCATTGTGAAGGTATTATCTTTTATTGTGTTATGCCTAGTTGCATTATCTTTTATTTAGCTGGTCCTGACTTCAGCTCTGCAGAGAACGCAAGAAGGAGCAGATCAAGAATTTTGTGGATTTAGGTGATAAAAATTTGAAATGTTACCCAGTATTAAAGTCATTCTTCTGCTAATTTTTTCATTTAGTCCATTTTCAGTTCCCCTGAACCTGATACAAGTCTCATATGATTAAACGTTTATCTTTTCCTTGTATTAGAGTAGTTACCCTATATTTACGTACACAACTGAGCCCTGTGACAGTGGTGCACTTAAATATCTTGCTTGTTATATGTATGCATGTGCATATACATTAGACAGCAATTTTAGCAGTTAAGTTTTATGTTTCCTTAGTGTCTCAAAGTGTAACTTCCTTTGTAAAGTATTTATACCACTTATACAGCAAACATTTTGGTGGTAATTACAGCTAATATCTTTTTCTTTTTTTTAATTGATGAACACTTACGGGGGCAGGAATCCAAACAACTACATCATGACATCACCTTGGTGTGAGACATTTTTAAACTCAAACTAGTAACAACAAGATATTGTGAGGACCCTCTCATTTTTAGAGAACGCATTCTTCCTCTTTGATTCATTAATGATGTTTGTTCCTTTCATAGTTTAGGAATGAGATCTTTAATTACATTGTGATATTTTATTCCATATGATTGCACATTGAAGCTTTAATGGGACAAGACTGACTCAGAATTCTGGAATTCTGGTTCAAAACTGGAATCTCACAGCCAGACCTTTCATGGGGAGGTGAGGGGAAGCTCCGTCATGGCTTAGCCTATTGCACATTTACACTGGCTTCTTATTGCAGGGAGTGCCAGAGGGAAGACCTCTGCCTGTGTAGTCTCACAGCGGATAGAAACAGTGGTTGTGGAGTAGAGTGGTCTCCCGTTTCAAATGTGTCTCAGGAGTATTAGTTTGAATGTGTTTGGCTATGGCTTCTTCAGTCAGCTGATCTGTTTTTGCTAATGCATTAGGTAGTGTTGAGGAAACGTTCTATAGGAGTAATAAAGATATGAAGTCCTTATTTCTGGTTTACATCTTGGGAGTTCCTCAAACGTAAGTTGGGAGGCAGCAGGTCAGTGGTAGTTTGGTTCCCGTGGGAAGCAAATTCTGCTCGTGGGCAGTATGTGTTAGGAGACTTTTTGATGTTTTATGACCATAGGACCTTAAAAGAAGTTAGAGTGGAGACCAAGAGAACAAAGTATAAAATTACTTGCAGTGCATTATTTAATATTTATTATCATGCATGGGCTGGGAGAAGAGATTAGGAACCAGTGCTGTAGTCTTGAAGCATGGAGACTTTTTTCTGTGCTTCTGGTCGGCAATTAATACTTAACACTTTTCAAATATAGAATCTAAGAGTTATGAAATGATTTAGATGAGTTGGTAGATGCTGCTGTATTCATTCTAAGACTGTAAAGTAACACTTTACAGTCCAAGTAACACTTGTTACCTTGTTCAGACTAGCATTTTCTCCACAAGTTACCACTAGACATTAGTGAGTTTGCTCACTTATAAAATGACATACTTCTCTTTTGGGGGGAAAATGGTTTTAAAGACAACATTACCCTGTCCAGGTCCACAACCTATGGCTATACCCACATTGTAAAGAACTGAGAACTGGAATTACTGCCTGTATGGAATGCTGCAGAGAAGAGGCACTCTGATATAGAATATAGGTGTCAGTGGTTGACTTAAATCCTTCAGTGTCTCACACGTAAGAATAGTGTCTTTTTCATGGAATCTTCAGACATATGATTTCCAATTTAAAAATACGAGAGCTTAATCTTTTTGTAGGTCATCAGTAGAGTAAGAACCATAGCACTTTCACATCTCATGGTAAATGTAGCAAACTAATTTGGTTCAAAGGGTGGTTGCTGGTGGGATTTACAGATAACTTGTTAACAGCACAGAATGTACCCAGTGATGACTTTTGTCTTTGCAATTTGTTTTGTGGCTGGTATAGTTTGGTTATTATAGAAATATCTGCCCCTAGTTCTGTATCTGTTTCTCCTGTTAATGGCACTCCATTTATTGTCCCGCTCTGCTCCGGTTCATTGTGTTATCTCAGGCAACCTGCTGTTTCAAATGGCATATCCTAAAGTAATTAGGTGCCTCTACACTTAAGTCAGGCTGTTTCACTTTCATTTCGTCTGAGCGCCAAGGTGATGTTAAAAGCAAGTTTCTGCAGTGGCATCATCACTTTCTAGGCATGTCACGACCCAGTCTTGCAACCTTGGAGTA